AAATGAAATACTCCCTCCATCCCATTGGACTTTGGCAACTTTCCCTTTTTGGTTTTCCCAAAAAGCTTTGCCACTTTCCTATTAAAGCAACTAATTTGTGGTTCTGCTCAATTCTTTCTCCTTTGCTCAAACCCCAACCACAAAGTTTTTACTTTTCTTCTTATTTCTCACCTACTTTGAACTTGGCAAAGTCCACCGAGGCGGAGGTAGTACAACCCTTTGTGGGATGGAGTATTAGGTATTACCGTATTTTGGACTTCGTACATGTGCTTGACTGCTTGCATACCTTTTCATGAAGCACCAATGGTGTTGAAAGAAATTGCTATGTCTAGTATTTTGTCTTTTCCCCGCTTAGGTTCTGCCTAGTTTCATTAGATCCTCCTAGAGTCAATTATTCCTGCATAAGGTTCCTAGTATATTTTACAGCACTTGATGTGCCGGAACTATTGTGCTTAAGGGTTGATTGACTGAGAAATGAGAAATCAGATCCGCCATTTTTTCCATGTGGCGGACATATTTAAGGGAGACAGGTCATTGCAAACTTAACAATGTGTCTAGGCAGTGTTATTTGAGCGCAGAGGATGTTGCATTCTGTTTTTGGGAAAAATTGCAACTCGTGATCTTCAATTAATTGATTTAGTGAATAAATACAAGACTTAATCTTCACTTATTTCTTCTATTCATCATGATACTATCTTCCCACACCACCAAAGATATTGATCTTGAAAAGGGAGAGTTCCCGAAATAAGAGTGAACACGGTTTGGAATTCCAAAACAGGACTGCTATGTTTTTCTTTTCGAAATAGGAGTAACATGGCAGTATTTACTGCCATCTTGTAGCCATTACTGCCAAATAGTTGTAGTACTAGGCATTAAACATGTTAGTCTTTACTATCATTAATGGCAGTATTTTTCAATTATGGCAGTAACAATTCCTATTTCGGGAAGAAAAACATAATAGTCCTATTTTGGAATTCCAAAACCTGTTTACTCCTCTATTTAGGGAAATTTCACTCTGGAAAATCATCTTCACATTTTCAAAAAAAATCCATATCAAGTGTTTTGTACATTTGATTAATTTGAATGATAGATTAACCTGTTTGTTGATCGCAAGATAATTCCACGATTGTTAAGAAGTTAATTAGTTTACATGATTCGTAGTATTTATTGTTTGTATTTAGTGTTCTAAATGGTGGTAGGTGCTAGTTGGGTGGTGGCTTGCCACCTAGCCTGTCTAGGTGCCACATTGGTCTTCCCTCTCTTATTTAATTTAATTTTTTGTTTTTTTATAAATTCAAATGGTATTTACTAGTTTAGAATATTTTGGTAATAGAATAGCTCATATATTTATTAATTGTTATATTTTGTAGTAAAATCATAAACAATAAAATTATAAAAGAACAATTCAATAAGATAAAAGGTTCATGTTTTTTATTCAGTTAAAATTCATTTTTTATTTTAAAAATATTAGAATAATTTTAATAAATATAGAATACTTGATGACCATTCACCATCAACCAAACGATGTCTTTAGGACTGAGCGGAGAAAATAAATTGGATTGAGAGCCAACCTACTGTTCGGAGCCGCCTAAATCCCACTTAGGCAACCCTGCCCAGCCAATTTAATGCCCGTCTAGGCCATCACCTAGCCGGCTAGCCCATAGGCGCCGGTCTAGGTCGCCTAATTGACTGGTTATTTTTTCTAACCGCCTAGGATGATCGGGGTGCCCGGCCACTGCTTAGCAATTAGACGGGCTTTTAGCCGATTTTAGATCAATGTTTTTCTTTCTACAATTTCCTGAATTTCTAATAATCTTCAATATCCCACTTTGTCTTTTATTTTGATTTTTTGGTGCTTCGTGATTCAGGTTGCATCTGCCATGACAGTTTGGAACCATCTGCAGCCTGCATATGCTGCTAACCTGTGGAATGAAGCATTGAACAAGCGGCTTGGAACTCAGGTTATATTTTTGTGTAATGCTTCTTTATACAAAGGAAAAGTGTGGTATTGCTGTTAAGGATTTTTAAATTGTGAATAAAAAGTGTTGAAGTGTGTAGTGGGGAAAATTATGTTTTTAAGTTTTTTATATAAAATGCTGTGCAAGTAGAGGCCATGTGTGTAAGACTGCTTTTTAGCTAAAAGACTAATAATAGTGTCAAAGTCTAGGTGATTTGGTCTGATAGTTATTCTTGTCGGTTATTAGCTGTTGATCTCAAACAGCTTTGTTTAATTTAGTTCACCATATACCTAAACAAGTTATTGTATGAAAAGTACTGTGTGCAAGGGTAGGTTTCCAATATATATGATTCCTTAAATTTTGTCATCCCTGACTTTGAATGTAATATTTTTTGGTTCAAGCAGGGGCTAGATCTTCCTGAAATACTTGTGGAAGTTGAAAGGCGGGGGTCATCTTTTGGGGAACTGTTGACTATTCCAGAACAGGATGACTGGATTTATGGCGATGGCAAGTCCACATCATGTGTTGCTTTTGTTCTTGAAATGTACAAGGAAGCAGGACTGTTTGGCTCACTTGCAAGCTCCATTGAAGTTACAGAGTTTACGGTGAGTTTGTCCAGCAGATGCATGATGTGTTCTGTGTTGCTTGTTTTCTTTCTTTTTCACATATGCCTGATATGGTGTACCATTTTTTTGTGATCAGTTTTCCAAGATCAGGCTGAACTGTTACTGGATCAGTTTTTTGTTTTTGTTTTAAAGTAGCTCTTAATTTTTCTAAACTACTATAAATACGTAATTGAAGTTCAATTGGAGTTGATGCTTGAAAATTGTGTATCACTAAATGTGTTATAAATATACAAAATATCAAATAATACTTTCAATTCCGGGTTCGGACCGGATCAGAACCAGAATCTTAAAAGTCAGGGATCGAAGATCAGACCAGTATGTACTATACTCTGTATGTAATAGGTCTGCGTCCGTTTCTGACCGACTTCTCTGATTTTGTCCGGTTTTCCATTCCCAACTAGAAATTTCTCAGCCTTAGTTGAAGTCATATTTTAATCTTTCTCTTTCTTCAAGTGCAGATTAAAGATGCATACTCTCTGAATTTTTTCGAGAATGATATGGGACGCTTACCAACGTGGTGCAATGACGGGGACACAGTGAAACTTCCGTTCTGTCAAATTCTGGGGAAGTACCGAATGGAATTTCCGGACTACAATACCATGGAACCATACTCTCATATGAATGAAAAGTGCTCTTCTATGCCACCCAAATATTTTCGGCCAAAGGGTTGCTGATGAACCTTTCCTATATGTACATATTTGTGGCTTCAAAGTTGTATATATTCCTATCGTAGGGCACATCCGCACAAGGCAGGTGACACTACAAGCTGTATTCATCTGGAAAAGTGTCAACTGTCCATCCTGGTTCACCAGGTCGATGACAATTTGGAGGTGAAATTACTACTTCACTTCACTCACTGTCAAAGCATAGTAATGTTGACTCCTGCAGTGGATTATCAGTGAGCTGCGAGAGCGACTGGCATTACTCATTCATCTGAAGCTGGTTTGGACTTAAGAATGTAAAAGTGTTTGGTTTGTGAATTGAATTGTGCTAAGGTAGCTAGTGTGTTATGTTGTTCATGGACTGGCTTCTAAAGCTTTAAGGGTTGGCTTGACATGGCCCCCATTGTTACCGTTAGCACGACGATGTAAACACGTTAAAGTTTCATGCAATGCAGTAGGCAATGTGAATGTCTTGCTGTAATTATCTATACATATACATCCTACTTTACTGGTCTAACTTCACTTTTAGTGTCCACTTTTTTTTAACTTTCTGCTTTTACTATGTTTCTTATACGCCTTTTTGTCCCCTTTTAATGTCCCATTACTGCCCATTAGTTATGGAGATTCTTATACTCAATAAAATAGCCTGTCTTCTTTAAAGTTTAAACACCATCGATCTAATAAAAGAGGACATACAACTCTTTGGCATTAGGAATTGCCCTTTTTGTCAATCTCACAAGGTCACAAGGACATTCGTGCTCCATAGGAGAGCATGTATGACAATACCATAAAGCCTTCTCAAATACAAATATCCATGGGCTGATGATGATACACTTTAGACTAAAGTGCAACCGTAAACTGTCTGTAGAAAAAGGGCGACTTTGCATTCATACTTGTAATTTGTGATTTTGGGGTGTTTGGATTTGATTCTTAAAACTGCTTCTGTTCCTTTAGGGAGCAGAAGTTAGAGTGTTTGGGTGAAAGTGCAGAAGCCAGAAGTACTTCTAGTGCTTTAATTTACTCCTAGAATTAGTTTTTTAAAAGCTAGTGGAGAGCCGCTTATGAAAATTGATTCTGATTCTGCTTCTTTTTTAGAAAAGAAGTAGAAGCAGAATCAGTTCCACACACCCCCTTTATATTATAAATAAGCATAATATGTAGTACGTAGTATATACATAGTATTACGGAGTATAATTTTATGATCATTTTTCTGAGGATAGCAAATGATAGTTGAAAGTTAAAAACAATTAATCTAAGATTTTTAATTGTATGCTCATTTAATTATATAAGGGATCCAATTTTTAAAATTTAGTCCAAGATATGTATGTACAACAAAAACAAAATGTGTACTTTCAATGTGTATGATTTCCAAAAAATAAAGTAAAAAATTATTTATCGGAACTTCAATTCTTTCTGCTGAGTGTGATGTTGAAAGTCGTACTTATTCATCCATTCATCATCATTACTCTAGTGCATCAAAGGCTCCCACCTACGGTGAGATAAAAGGGGTAAATGGGGTCAGATGTACGCAATCTAAAGCACAGAAAGACTGTTTCCGGATGATTCATAATGATCCATAGTGAAAAGTCGTACTTATTCATAAATATATAAAAACACACGGAATATATATTTATAATCCTATATAAGGATTTTATGTTAGGAAAATGTTTTTATTTGTACAATAATATTATTTTGGTAACAATATAGTACAGGGTAAAATTGGTTTGAATACCATTTTTTCAGAGCAATATTTGGATTTATGATGTCCTGGGATCCTGGCTGCTAATAGCCAAACCTTGCCGTTCTAATTTCAAACAAACAAAGCAGCAGAGGAACCACGCCTTTCAGATGCCAGAATGTTGGGGCTACTTCCATGGCGTAAATGGACCCTTTGCTCCAGAGTATCTTATAACAAGCCTTCCCCATTCTTTGAGCATCTTCCTCGTATGCTCAAACACTCTCTGACTGGAGGGGAACAAGACGACAATGTGAAGGACCCTCCATTTTCTGCCGTCACCCCCAAAGCCCCAACACACCACAAATCAGAGAAGAAGAAGATTGCGAAAAGCTCACCGACTAAGAATTCTAAAAAATCTCCAGACTTTCCATTGATTTCTGAACTGCCGTTTGATTTCCGGTACTCTTACTCGGAGACCAACCCGGCCATCGAGCCTATCGGTTTCCGCGAGCCGCCGAAATTCTCTCCTTTTGGGCCTGGACGCCTTGACAGAAAATGGACCGGGACTTGTGCTCCGGCGCCATCTCCCGCGGACTTGGACAAAGTGGCCCAGGCGCGCCAAGCCGTTCTTGGAGAGCCGTTAACAGAGGAGGAAATTGCCGAGCTTATTGAGAAGTACCGGCACAATAGTAACTGTTCTAGCCAAATCAATTTGGGTAACATCCCCTTTTCCTTCTCTAGTTGTATTTTTGGTATGTAAAATGTTTTCTGAAAGAATGCTGATATTGAAGTTATGTCATTTGCTGCTAAGGGAGGGGTGGAGTGACACACAACATGCTGGAAGACATCCACAACCACTGGAAGAGGGCTGAAGCTGTTAGGATCAAGTGCTTTGGTGTGCCAACTCTTGACATGGATAATATCTGCTTCCATCTTGAGGTCTGAGATATGGATCTCCACTTGACATGGATAATGTTTGCTGTGTTTGATTCTTTTTTATGGTCCATTTATGTCTTGCAAACTCACACATATGACTAGTTTCACTCTTTTTAGAGTGGAGCCTCAAGTCATACTGAAAATTCACTTCAGCTACATCCATTTTAGAATAGTACGGTCGTATGGAGTATCTTTTATGTAGCCCAACTCATAGATCGTTCTGTCACATGGTCTAAACCTATTTCTTCTATTCCTATACTATATTTTGGCATTACCACACCTTAAGTATGACAGTAATCATAGTATACTGACATAATTGACAGCGTTTTCCAAGTGTGATAGTAATTACTCCTATTTAGTGAATAAAAACCGTGCTTCTATTTTTGTAATTCCAAAACGTTTTCACTCTGTTTAGGGCACTTTGGGCATTTTAAACCTCAACAACAAGTACCCACACATCAAAATTGGTATGCTCTACCGTCTTGTAGTCCTATTGAGTCATCTAACATTAATGAAATACAAAAAAAACTCACCTGCTCCTCCAACATAAACTCCTTATATTTTAATATTGAACTCCTAGTCACATCAGAGCTTGTTAAGTAACAATTCAATCTTATTAAGCCTCCACAACAGCCATATCAATTTCAGCATTGGCATGAGCCACCATTTTGTGAGCATATTAAGTCATACAATATTGGACAAATTCAAAAAGTACAAACTCGCGTATGAAGCCTGCAGTGGACTGCACCTCTCATCGCTTTGGACAAGCGTTAACACTAACAAGTATTTCATTTTGACCATTGATAATAAAGATCACATTTCCTCATAGGACAAATCAGGTGGCCAGATTATTTATCGCCACATAAATGTGCTACTTCTATTCCGTGGTCGGGGCTATGATCCAAAAAACAGACCAATCATCCCATTGATGCTGTGGAAGCCATATGCACCAATTTATCCAAAGCTAGTGAAGAATGTTGCTGACGGCTTGACATTTGAAGAAACGAAGGAAATGAGAAGCAAAGGGCTTAGTTATCCTCCCCTAACTAAACTTAGTAAGCCACTTTTTCTCTGGTGACTTGGCCATACTCCTACATTCTGCTTTAGCTCTTTCTATTGCATCTAAATAAGGTAGACTTTTATTCACACAGCAAATAGTAGCTGATCCGCTGCATATTTTTCTGCTCTGTAGCTAGAAATGGTGTCTATGTAAATGTGGTGGAGAAAGTCAGGGTGGCGTTTCAAACAGAAGAACTAGTAAGGTTAGACTGTTCCCATGTGGGAACAAGTGACTGCAAGAGGATTAGCGTTAAGTTACGGGTATGGATTTTCACTTTTGCTTGGATAAGTTCAAGATCCTTAATAGATAATCTTTGCCTCCCATACTGTAAGATACATTAGGGTTTGGGCCGTTTGGCATGGTTTTAAGGAAATAAAGGAGAGTTTTATTTACAACTGCAACCTCCTAAGAGGAAGAAAACGTTGTATGAGCTTACAAAAAGTAAAAGGTAAAATGATAAGTACAAGGATAAAGTGGGAAAACATAAAGTTAGTGAAATTACGTTTAGGAAAGGGTTCACATTTTTGGGAGAGGACAAAAAGGAACATGTGTGCCTCTTTTCAACTAAACTGTTTTCAAAGATCAAGGAAGTACATTTTTGCAGATCCATATATCTTGAGTGCAGGATTTGGTACCTTGCGTCCCAATCTTGGTCAAGGATGAACAAGTTTTGCTATGGAGGGGAAAGAGAGATGAAGCTCAGAGGTCCGTCTTATCAACGGAACATGTATCAGAGACATGTTTGTAGAACACCTTTGCTCCCATATTAAAGACATGTAGCCTCTTAAGCAAGTGTAAGGCATGTTGTTATCGTCCCATGCTGAGCCAAAAAATTGCATAACTGAGAAGTACGTGTTGCTCTCTTTCCATTAGGTGTTGCCGTAGAACCATGTTGGTTGGTGTTTGGTGGACTGCCTAGTTTCCTAGGTGAGTAAGTGACTATGACGGCAGGTCACCAAATATAATATTTAAATATGCTTCATAATATATTATTAACTATATTATATACTTATATCCCCTTTTTTCTAAAATATAAGATACATTTGAGTTTTGCACAGATTTTGAGAAAATATAGGAGATTACTGTTCTTTTGAAATTGTACCTTTTTAAATGGAAGAAAAAGTAATATAGGTCCACAAAAAGTAAAACATTGAAATGATTGATAAAAGGATAATGTAAGAAAACAAAAAGTTAGTTGAGTTAAAATTAGGAAAGACTTCTCATACCTTGGGCTAACAATACTTGTATCTTACAAAATGCGACAAATGGAGTATCAGTTACTAATTTAGTAATTTATGACATTAATTCACAATCTATTTCCTAATATATTAATCTACTTCAGGAAATAAATCATCCATATATCTTTTGTGATAATTAGTTGCATTGAAATTTTGGGTACTCTCACTTTCAGCTCTAACTGTTTTGCCAGTAGTAGATTCTGGGTAGAAAAAAATTGAATTTATACCACATAAAACTGCAACAAAAGAAAAATATATAGTAAAATCAAATACTGCAAAGTGCACAAAAGAAACAGGAAGAAAGAAATGAAGAAGACAATGTAGTGCACTTACCAGATAGCACTACTGTCTGAATAGATGAAGCACAAATAGCTAAAGTTACTTAGCACTACTGTCTGATACATGAAGCATGAATAATTAAAATTACTTAACTAAAAATATAAATGCAGATACAGAAATGAAGAAAGAAGAAAAGAATAAAGAAGAGAAGGGAGAATACGCAAAGACAAACCTGATGAGCAGTTGCGAGTCTTGTGACTTGATTCCTATGTTTTTTGTCTCTTTAAGCCATTCAGATTTATCCTCTTTAAGCTCAAATTTGTCTTTTTCATTACAAAAAACGGCTCAGGTTCATGGTTCAAATTCAAATCAGATGACGAAATGAATATGGGTGACGCGGTGAGTGTCTTAATCGATGTCAGCTGTGCCTCAGTTTTGTTATGTACATCTCAGGTTTTTGTAGTACCCAATGTATTTTGACAATCTTACACAAGAAGTTCCCAGCGAAGGACTGGACTAAGAAAGAATTCCTAACTACGTAGTGACAGTCTAGATCTTCTTTTCCCCTTTCCTTTCATCTCTTGTCATATATATTGAAATTTGATCACGTGCGATTTCTAGAAATCCATGTTGAGCTTGTTGGTTTTGGACTGAACTTTGTGTTGCTTGCTTTGATGTATCCCATTTTTTGATGAATGATTGTAGGTCGTGTTACATTATTGTGTAAAAAAATGATTTGTGTTATTTGTATATGTAACCTTCGTCACTCTACTATGATCATTCAGTGGCTCTGATTTTGTAGCGTGAAACTGGATACCAGGGGAAATTGTGCTCAAGAATTGTAAGATGTTTTAGTCTACTATGGAAGTGAGTACAAATTGCATGTTACTATGTTATCATACACCCAGGATCATTAAATGGCTACTTGTAGATAAATCTTATGAAGTGTAAATCTATTGCCATTCTAGACTAAATGGGAAACATTGTTTTTTCTTTACACTAGGGGTGGGCATAAAACCTGAACCGAACTGATGCCGAACCGGCCCGTAATGGTACCGAACCGAATATCGGGTATTTAAACGGTTTTATAGATTTTTATCCCGAACCGAAACCGTACCGTTTGAAACGGGTACGGGAACGGTCCTAGATTTTGAAAAGCGAAAAGAACTGGACCGGACCGTTCAAAATAATGCATTTGAATTTTTTATATTTTCTTTCATACCAATAAATATATTTTATAGACCAACATTTTTATACCCAAATATGCATTCATGTGTCCCTAAAATAGCTAAATGTGTGTGTTTATATGTATATTGTTATTTTTTCTTTTTAAATAATTTTGTGTTATATTTTGTTATGTATTGAAAGAATGAGAAAATAATTAAAATATCCCAAACTTTGAAGGGGTGTGAGGTAAGCACCCCAAACTTTCATATGTAATTTAAAACCCCAAACTTTATATAAAAGTTATTTTAGCACCATGGTTATGAATTATTTTTTTCAAAAATGACAAATTTTTATGTTAATTTCATACTTTAAAATATTTTAGCATTCATGAAGATACAATTAACATTCTTAACTTCCATTGTAATATACTACGTAAATAGTATCACCCCCACTCTATATAATTGCAACATTTTCAATTTGCTATTTTAAATTATGCAATTAACATAATAAATTAACATTTTGAAAGAAATGATACATGATCATGATGTTAATAGAACTATTTATATAAAGTTTGGGATATTTAAATTACATATGAAAGTTTGAGGTATTTATCTCACACCCCTTCAAAGTTTGGGGTATTTTAATTATTTTTTTCTTGAAAGAATGTTAAAGTTTTAAAAATCATTAATGACTATTCATTTGTAGTAATGTAGTGTATATGAATTTTTGTTGTATCATGTTTCTGCAATTGTACAACTTAATTAATATGGTTTAAATCTTAGTTCTCACAGTTCAACTATAAATTAAATTAGAACTAATATTTAACCTAGAATAGAGAAGAACGTTGAATTTTTCTATTATATTGAACAATTTGATGATATTTTCTTTTTTATATTTTCACATGAACTTAATATATGAAAGATGATATTTATCTCGTGTATCATCATTTTGCTATACTTTTTCTTAGTTGTGTTGCACTATTTGTGTATTTGTGAACTTTAGTACTACGTATGCAATTTCTTGTATTTATATGAACATTTAATGTGAGTTGGTTGGTGTGATGTTATTTACTAATTGCAAGATTTGTCCAACTTTTCAGTATGCATTTGGCATTGTACCGTACTGTTTTGTACCGTTCCGAAACGACATGGTACCGAATGGTTCCATCCTTAGAACCGGACCGTACTGGACCGTTAGAAACCTCATGGATACATTACGGGTTTTACTAATTTCCCGGACCGTTCCGGACCGCGCCCACCCCTACTTTACACCATTGAAGAGAATATTGAGTTTTCTACTTTCATGATCAAGAAAGGGCAGCCTGGTGACCCACAAGGCGAAGGTCCGGGGAAGGGTCCCACCTCATAAAGGTGTACAAAGACCAAGTCTTTCCTTGTCACTTTGACAAGTGGTCGCTCTCAAAACTTAAATCAATGACCTCTACATCAACAGTTCAACACCACCATTATTGGTGTGTCAAGGCCATAGTTAGTTAAATACGGTACATGAATTAAACGTGGTTTAATACGTACGTGTTTTATTCGGTAATTTGAACAAAAAATACGGTTAAATATTCGGCAAAAAATACGTTGACTTTTAAAAAGCGTGTAAATACGTATACGTGTATAATACGGCATCTCTTAGAAAAATTCGGATTAAAAATACAGGTCTTGTTATGAATGCTTAAATTATTTTAGTAGTTTTAAGAGCATAAAAAACATATAGTACATAAAGGATAATCTCATAATCAAAATACACACACATTCATATAGAATATCTCATTACTCCATCAAAAATGCATTCATAAATCAGAATAGCATAAGTTCATGACAAAAAAGGAATAGTAATTAAGCCCAAAATAACATTTAAATTATATACTTCATAAAATAACATATAATAAAAAGAAATAAGAGTGTACACATATTGAAGTAGCAAATCACATTATTACATAAAAGAATAATTTGTAATTGTATAAATCGATGACAGAAGTAAAAACAATAATCAAGTCCAAGACATAATTTTGCAAAGTAATGTAAAAAAAATAAGGCATAATAAGTAATAATGATACAATGAGACCAAGTTAACATCATCATCACCATCATCATCATCATCATCATCATCATCATCTTTATATGGTTATCATATAACACTCAAGTTATGCTCATCATTTTAGCCTAGATGACGGATGACATATGAGAAAGTTGTGCGACTGTTACGTTTATTATTGTTTATATGTAGAAGTTTACAGTAAAAATGTCAGGTTTAGGAAAACCTTAATTTTGATATGCTTGTTTGGAATAGAACATAAGCAAAAAAACGTAGTAGTATTTTAGGTTTTAGTCTTTTAAGTTGCTAGCTTTAGTCATCATGCAATTAATTTTAGTATTTAACAATTGTATATTTTGTAATGTAACAATACAAAAACACGGGGTCATGAGGATGATGTTTTCTTTTTTGCTTTTAAGCTATTGTTGATCTTCTATTCATTTGATGTATTCATTCAATTGATCAAATCATGTTTCTATTTTTTGTAAAATACGGGAAATATACGTTTTATACGGGAAGTAGAAGTTTTTTTCCTTTTTAAACGAACCGACATTATTTTTTGTTTTAAATGTGTTTTTTGTTCAAAACAACGGTACATGTTTTAAACGCGTTTTAAACGGAAAAAAGCTAACTAGGGTTAAGGCTCCTTTTTTTTTTGTATTTTCATGATATTCATATGCAATTGTAAAATACAAAAGATGTTGTTAGCATAACACATTTTATATGTAATATTTTTTACATGTATCTTGTAATGTGTAATGGTACTTCTAAAATATCTATATCATGAAGAAGTTTATTAATCAAGAAAGAAAAAAGTACCATAAGTTATACTCCTTAATAAACTATGGAGTGTGATGTTTTTACTTGGACTGAAATTTTATTTTTCTAATTTTAATGGAAAAAGATGATGTCATTTTCATGATGGGACTACAATTTTATTTTTCCTAATTTAATTAATGTGGTGTATACTTAAGTTTTAAGGTAATGCAAGGTTATATGGGCATTATTCAGTTAAAAGTAATAGAATATACCTTAAATAACACTAAAACAAGGATGATGTACATAAATATGATTGATTTATATACCCAATACAAAACCTGTTAATCAATTTATTCTTTTAATAGAATCAAAAAGATCTTATTTGAGGAGTGAAACATATTTAATCTTATATTTGAGGTTTGTGTATGTCCAGGGGCATAGTCAAGACACTAGACTGGATTGTACCGATACAAAAAAATATTTTTGAAAAAAATTGTACATTAATTTTTTTACACTAAAAATATAGACATTTTTTAAATTTGGAGTGAGTTGAGATCTAGGTTGGCCTCCCTAGCTACGCCCGTGTGTATGTCTAATCCTATATTGAACAATTTCGATAAACGTTGCATTTTTTATTTGTACAAACTGATATTGAACTTTATTAACCTCTATATAATCATGTACATAAACTAATTTTACGTCATTCTTTTTTACAAAAAAAAAACTCAATTCATTTCATCATTAATAATATTTAGGATACAATGTGGAACAAAAGTGAAAATTCTGCTAGGAGCGTGATTAGCAACCGCCTTAACCACGACATGAGCGCTACTATTCACTTGCCGTTTAGTAAAAACAACTCTGAAGTTAAAAGTATTGTGCAATACTCCACCAATGACCCATATTCGGTTGGATTAGGACGGTTAAGGCACACATCTTCTATTCTTCTACAAGTTGCTTACAATCAGTTTCAAACAGAACATGATTGTACCGAGTACTAGCCATCCATTTAATAGCTTCTCTAAGGCCCCATGCTTCCGCCTCAGCTAGACACAAATCCGATGTACATATACCTGCTTTAGCCATATAAAACTGCCCACGATAATCCGAAACACATGCCCCGAATCCAACTCGCTTCTCATTTGCAAAGAGAGCGGCATCGACATTACACTTCAAGAAGTTACGATGAGGGGGCTGCCACCGGACTTGAACCAAGCTGCTGGTCAACAACTTCTGAGTGCTAATCCTAGCTCTTTCCCAGAAACGCAGCAGTTCACTCCGACGAGAGATAACCTGGTGCGTGGTCTCCCGGATGCCTTCCCAGTACATCTTATTCCTCTTCTTCCATATGCTCCATAAAGTCATGCTAAAAGCTTTTGATTTATTCTCTGGAAAGGCTTGGATGATGCTCATGAATTATGAATAACTCACATAAACTTTCAGTTGCTGTCATAGTTGCTCCCATAGTTAACCCCTTTATACGAAGATGTCGTGAGGTCGTACAACATTGTTAACCCCTTTATAGGAAGAGGTCGTGAGGTCGTACTCATTTAATGAATAGACCTCTTTATTCAATTAATAAAATATCAAATTTTTGTACGATATATAGTATTCCATCTTTCCCTAAATAATCTTTCATTTCGCTTTTTGAGGGTCAACTTAAATCACACTTAAACTCTTACTTTATATATCAAAATTTTACAAATATTGAATTATTTTTTGCAGGTTTTGTAGCGGTTTTAATGTAGCTTCTGAATAGTAAATTGTATTTACTAAAAAATAATCTGATTTTTCACAAGGATCATTTAACTTTATCGCGGGTCAAACTTCGTAACCCGCGATATTATATGTAAATTTTATTTACTTGGAGTTTTATATTGGGACGAAGGTAGTATATGTTTAATTATTAAAGACTCTGTCTGAACTAGAGACTATTGTCTAGAGCTACATTTTTATATATTGCATCTGAACTGTTAGCCGGATGATGTAAATTTGTTCAAAAACAGAGTTAAAAAGATGCTCAGATAATATGAACTGACTAGATTAGATCATACACATCAGACTAAATTCGATCAGAACAGACAAATCAGACAAAAAACTCAGTCCAATTAAAAACGTTTTTAATAGAGTCCTTAGTAAAATTTGGAACTCCACGTGTATTAGATTAGAATACGATAAATCTACTAAAAAAAACTAAAAGTGTTCATGAGTAAAATTTGGAGTTAATTAGCATATTATGGAGTTATATAATCATTGTACAAGCAGAAGGGAGATAGACATACATAATTAAATTAGCTTATTATGAAGCTTCTTTTTAATATAAAGGATCCACTTATATAATAAAATCAAGAAAAGATATAAGATAACATCCAGACACTTATGACAGATTCGATTGTGAGCTCTGGGAATAGACATAGAATCAGCCACCACATACAAAGCAATCTGATTCACTAGACACGAAACGGACAATTTAAAGCCTAAACATTCAGGACTGAAATATTGCCTATCAAGTTTCCAAATCAAATTAGTGAAACTAAAGTAAAAACAATGACTATTAAAGGAAAAATAAAATTAAAATAAAGTCTTTCCACAAAACTCTTCATGGCATGGAGATGGTTCTGGAGGAGAACGAGTTATATCAATGTCTACGCACTCTCTGGAAGAAAGCAGATAGAAACCCATGACCCGACGAAGCTAGCTGAGACACAGACACCAACAAAACTCCCCACATCGAGAGAAACCACCCCAGAGCTTCAGTGCCCGGGAAAGAACCACCATATAACAAAATCAACACAATCAGAAGAGAATAGCAATCCAATTGGATCATACCTCTACAAGAATCTCTGAACAGTCGATGCCACCATAAGATAGTTTGAATTTCCATCATACCAAGAAGATGAAAGTTAATGGGACAAAGCTAATGAAGAGATTAATTTGAACTGATCCTTCTTGGATCTCTACGTCACTAGGGTTGGCGCACACCCTCTCTGTTGGAGGTATTGGTCCTACCAAGGCCTCCCTTCCACTTTATTAGCTGAGGCTTGCACCCTATTAATTTACTCCCTCTTTGATACCTTTTACCTGGTATATTATCTGATCAATTATATACCTGTTTGACTTATCTGGTATGCCCCATTGCTTGCTGTCCGCTGCACTCCCATTTGTCTTGGCTTATACCCGTGAGTTCCATTATTCACACCCGTGAGTGTACTATTGCTTTACCCGTGACTTCTCAATAGGCTGGTTGCCTATTATAAGTCAACACTCTTTCCTCCTTTGTGAATTAAGCATGCGAGAGTAACACTTCCAGAGAGCAGTGTCTTCCTTCTTCCTCTTTGTGAGTTCCTTTGTGGTTAGAAGAAGAGAGTTGAGAGATAGGTGTGCTATAGCCTCCTCCTAGTGTGGTGTATGTGAGTAGTGTGTGTAGAAAGACCTGAGCCGGAGACGGAATCCGATCCTTACAGTGGTATCAGAGATTGGTTCCGCCGTCTGCCGCCGTCCGCCGTCGTCCGCCGCCGTCCGTCAATTCGATGCCCTGAAGGTCGCTGGACGCCCCCTGAAGCCTCGCTTAGTGCCGTAGCTTCTGGTTCTCCGTCGAATCTGGTTTCAGTCACTATTGGCCGCCGAGTTCGAAGCTGGAGCCGCACTCGCCGGAAAAGCCCCGCCGTCCTCGTCCGTCGAATCCACCCCTGTAGCCATCGTCGCCGGAGGTCGCTCAAGGCCAGACCGTCGCTGGAGTTATTCGACGCTGGGTTGCTTAGCTCGTTTGCCGAAGAAGATTGTGGCCTGGATTTCGGATCCAAAACTTATTCTGGAGGACAAAACTCGAACGCAGATCGTTCGCAGAAGGCCTGGAGCGCAGGGCTGAAGATTTCCGCTGCAGAAGGAAAGCTGGGGTGGGGCTTCTATACTGTTGGGCCTCTTGGACTTGGACTGGTGGACCTGTATTGCTGTCCTGGAGCTACCTTGGACTAGAGGTGGAACGTGGGCTGCTGTTTTGGACTGAAGCTAGAGCTGGAGTTGGACCGGGCTGGAGTGCTGACTTGGACTGGAGACATGGACTGCTAAGGAGCTGGACCACCAGTCAACCGCCGCCGGTCAACGCCGGTCAACGGTGGTCAACGCCGGTCAACGGCAGTCAACCCTCCCGAAAAATCCCATTTTTTTTTAAAATTTGGGTAGGTAAGGTCGAAACGCTCTCCTAGGGTTTCGCGAAGGTAAGTTTTCTGTAAACTTCCTATTTATTTTATTCCGGTTTTAATTTAATTTATTCCCCCTCCCGCGGGCCGCCGGTTGATTTAATCCCGGCCGCCAACCCCCCAGGTACGTTTTCTAAACTCACTCCTTTGTGGCAGTTTGTTTTAGTGTGTTAAATTGAATTGCTAAGTGTTATTTAATTTAATTGTTATGCGTAGGGGTGGTTCTTTGGGTGGTAGGGGTAGAATTAATTAATTTTAATTTTCTACCTGGAATTGTTTAAATTGCCAAAATGTCCAATATTTGCTATGTGTTGCATGCTGCTCGGGGTTATTAAAGTGATTACTTTATAGCCCGGGTTGGATTTATTTTCTGTCAATTCAGTCTGTTTAGCTTTGTGTTCCTTTTGTGGTTGATACCATGGCTGCAAATCAGTATGGTATGCTTCCATTTAATGGAAAAACGAATTTTGATATTTGGAAACAGAAAATAAAGTGTGTTTTAATACAGCAAAAAGTTTTCAGAGCTGTCACTGGTATTTTCCTTGAATCAGAAGATAAGGCTAAGCAAATTGAAATGAACGAAACTGCTTGTTCTACTATTTACTTGAATCTGTCTGATTCTGTGCTTAGGAAAGTGGGTATTCTTGAGTCCGCTAAGGAGTTGTGGGAGAAATTGGATAGTCTCTATACTGATACCTCTTTGCCCGGGAAGTTGTTCTTACTAGAGAAATTCTTTAGGTTTAGGCTTGACCTGACTAAGGATATAGATGAGAACCTGGATGTGTTTAATAAACTGATACAAAATATCAAACAGGCAGGTGATAAACACATTGATGATTACACTCCCATAGTATTACTTAATGCCATTCCCGACTCTTATAATGATGTTAAGTCCGCTATTAAGTATGGTAGGGATGAGATTTCGTTAGACATTGTTGTGAATGGGTTAAGGAGTAAGGAATTAGACCTGAAGCATGCTAGGGGTAGTGCTAGTCAGTCCAGGGACTCCGGTGAGGCTATGTTTGTTAGGGGTAGATCTAAGGGTAGGTCTAAGAATCCTAAGCAAAATAGTCAGGGTAAGAACGCTAGTCAGCCTGGGAGGAAGAGGAGTAAATCTAGGAAGAGAGTGTGTTACAATTGTGGTAACACTGGCCATTTCATTAAGGATTGCCCCCACCCTAAGAAGACCGAGCATGCTAGTGTAGCTGTTGATAAATGTGACCTTGGTGATATTTTAATGGTTTGTGACCATGTTAATTCTGTGAGAAATTCCCTGTCTGAGCATGAATGGTTGATTGACTCTGGTTGTACCTATCACATGTCCCCCTTTAGAGATTTGTTTTCTACTTATGAATTATGTGATAGTGGCTATGTTTCCTTAGCTGATAATAAGAGATGCAATGTGCTTGGTGTTGGTGATATATGTCTGAAGTTTTCTTGTGGCTCTGTGTTTACCATTAAGAATGTGAGGCATGTCCCTGATTTGTGTCATAACTTGTTATCTGTTGCTGCTTTGGAGAGTAGTGGGTTGCAGGGAAAATGGGGGAATGGTTGTATGAAAATCCTGAAAAACTCGCTTGTTTTGTTTAAAACTGAGAAGGTGAATAACCTTTATGTGTGTCATGCTAAACCTTTTGCTGAGTCTGTGAATGTTGTATGTTCTGATAAGACCTCTTTGTGGCATAATAGGCTAGGACATATGAGCAATAAGGGTTTAGATGTCATGCGTAGGGCCGGTTATTTTGGTAAGGACTCTGTGACTTCTATGCCTTTCTGTGAATCATGTGTGTTAGGCAAGCAGCATAGAGTCAGTTTTCCTCCTTCCTCTTACCCTAATCTGTCTAAGTGTTCGTCTGTCCTTGAATATGTTCATGCTGATGTTTGGGGTCCTGCCAGTGTTCCTACCCACGGGGGTAGGAAATATTTCCTTTCCATTATTGATGACTTCTCTAGGAAGGTGTGAGTTTGCCTTTTAGAACACAAGTCAGATGTGTTTGTGAGGTTTAGGGAGTGGAAAACCCTAGTTGAAAACCAAACTGGCAGGAAAGTTAAGACCCTTAGGACCGATAATGGGTTAGAGTTCTGTAATAAGGAGATGGATAAGCTGTGTGTGGATTGTGGGATAAAAAGGCACAAAACTGTGCCTTATACTCCCCAACAGAATGGGATAGCAGAGAGAATGAATAGGTCTCTGTTGGATAAGGTTAGAAGCATGTTAGCTACCTCTGGTTTGTCTAAGAAATTCTGGGGTGAAGCAGT